GCAGCACGAGGAGCTCCCGGGCACCCAGGAGCGGGCGAGGGCTGACCCCTGGGACAGAGGAGCCGAGGGCCGATCTGTGGGGGCTGGCGACCCCAACCAAGCCGAGCGCAGGGTGTTCGCGGACGGCTGCAGGGGGGCCGACGGCTTGAGCGGCCAGATCTCTCCGCAGAAGACCCCCATGCTGCACTCCCTAGCCCAGGAGGGGGTGTGCCAGGCTCAGAACGGCCACCTCGGTGGCACGGAGAGGCCCCCGCCGTTTGACAGCCAGGTGGGCAAGGCCATACGCAGAAGTGACCGCTTTGCCACCACCCTGAGGAACGAGATCCAGCTGCTGCGAGCCAGGCTGCAGAAGAGCGCAAGCGCCGTGACGCTGCCGGGCGCCGCCGAAGCGGGGGACCCCGAGCCCGGCGCCTGGAGGGCCGAGCTGGGCGGCGCCACCGGAGCCCCTCCAGAAGGTTCTTCCTCGGGCGCCTACAAAGAACAGCTGAAGGAGGCCCAGGCCCGGGTTCTGAGGGCCACAACTTTTAAGCGCCGAGACTTGGACCCCAGCCCGGCCGACCAGTGTCTGGCGGCAGCAGAGCCCAGGGCCGGGGTCCTCAACACCCCCTCTCTGTTCCCCGGGGCTCCCGACACTGGCCCGGCCAAGGCAGCCTCCTCGGGGGGCGGCGGGCCGCACGTTCCGCGCATCGGAGGCCGGAAGCGCTTCACCGCCGAGCAGAAGCTGAAATCCTACTCCGAACCCGAGAAGATGAACGAAGTGGGGCTCTCGGGGCGCTACCGCCCCCACCCAGTGGCCGCCGAGGACACCGTGGGCACGTTCGCCGACAGGTGGAAGTTTTTCGAGGAGACGAGCAAACCGGCCCGCCAGCGGGCTGGGCAGACACCGGTGTGCGGGGTTCCGAGGGAGGGCCCCGGGTGGCCGCAGGCAGCCGGCCGCGGCCTCGAGGGCGCCGAGCCGTGGCTCCAGGGGAGGGCGCGCACCACCTCCTTTGGGGAAAACGCCGCTGCACCCCGGCGGCCGGGGAAGCTGGGGACGTCAGACCCACCGCAGAGACTCGGAACCTTTGCTGAGTATCAGGCGTCTTGGAGGGAACAAAGGACCGCTCTGGAAGCCAGGGGTTCTGGAAGGTACCACTCTGCAGACGACATCCTGGACGCCAGCCTGGACCAGCACCAGAGGGCACAGTACGTTCACGAGAGGTCCCGGTCATCTCCGTCCAAAGAGCTCTACACGCAGGTAAGCCCGCAGCGGCCGTCTTCACCCAGCGTGGGGTCACGTAAGGCCCCGCTGGGCAGGCAGCACCCTGGATACAGAAACGCTGATGTCCCTTACTATCTTGAGGGTTTTTCCCCTGACATCAGCCTCTGCAGAAAATGACGTTTGTGCGCTCACTGCGGCCCTGAGAGCCGGCGTCTGTGGGCGTCTGTGGGGCGTCTGTGGCCATCCTCCCGTTCTCGCTCCCTCTCCCCCTGCTCCCCGCTCTCTCCTCTCCTGCCCTCCCCTCCTCTCCTTAAGCTCTCCCTGCCTTTTCTGCTGCCTCTTAAATCTGCACTGACATGTTCCAGAGACACTTCCTTTGGGACCAACCGACGACCTTCCTTTCCTGGGCTTACACTGCAGTGTCCAGAGCACACACGCCAAGTGCACTCATGTGTTGTGCTGGGGGCCGTGAGCACACAGGGTGCGGTGCCATAGCCTGGCTGTGCCAGGTGGGGGACGCTGGGGCTTGAGCGCCTGGCTTGCTCAGCCGGGGGCCAGGAGGCCCCGCTCCCCAGAGCCCTGGGCTGGAGGCGGGGTGCAGAGAGCCCGCGGCAGCTGGCTTTCATTTGCCTTGGGTTTGGGGCCAGCTGCCTGCTGGGCTTCCAGCCCTCACGTGGGAGTTGCTTCCTGCCCCGGGCGCTGCGGCCGCCGGTGGAGCTGGGTCGCGGCCATGAGGCCCTCTGAGGGCAGAGCGCGCCTGTGCCGTGGCCGCGCGCCCTCCTGGGACAGGCCCTCGGACGAGCCCACAATGAGGGGGTGCGTAATGATCGGTGTCCGGAGGGCGGCGGCTTGACGACTCCGTGTCTCCTTGTGCTGCCCTTGGCAGGAAGTGTCAGCGGAGGCGCGGCTGTGCGCGGCAGACCCCGGCGAGCACGGACAGCCTCCCGGCGCGCTCCGACCGCAGGCAGCGCGCCCCACGCCCAGGTAGGTGCAGGGGTGGGGGCGGCTTGGAGGGCCGGGAAGGCTCCTGGAGCAAGCCGCTCGGCGGGTGAGGGCTTGTTCGCGTGGTCGGGCGCCTGCTTTTGGCCAAACCCACACGGTGCCTGTTCCCTGGGCGCGGCGTCCAGCAGCCCTGGTGCCTGGCGGGGCCGCGCGCTCGCTCCGCGCGCCACGCCCCGCCGCCGCCTTGCGAAGCCACCGAGGTGGAGACGTCTTCGAGCGCCACCGTGGCAGTTTGGGTTCTGAGGATGGCTGCTGTTTTCCCTCCAGCGAGGCTCTTCCTGCGGACAGAATGGGGAGTCCAGTTGGATGTGCTGAATGAGACGCTTTGTCCGGGGCCGGTGATGGTCTCCAGGGCACAGCTGCCTCGGAGGGGCGTCAGGCAGGACGAGGGCAAGCTCTCCCGATTGGCCTCCTCGAATGAGGTCACTCTGAGCATTGAGCTAGAAACCAAGTGGGTTGGCTCCCCCGGGAAGGGAGGAGGCAGGGGCGCCCGCCGGGGCGCGCTGTCTAAGCTGGCTGCTGTGGAGCTGAAGCGCGCAGGGGAGGGAGTGGACGCGAAACCCGCCGCGCAGGGCGGGGGCGGGGCGGGAAGGTCTGCGGCAGCCGCATCACCGTATTTCAAAGGGCTGAGGGAGGGCTGGCTGCGCATGAGTTGGCTCTGGCCGACCGGTTACACCCCCTTTTCTCTGACCTGCGAGAGGGAGCGCGGTCCGTGCAAGCCTGTGTGGGGCGCCGCTGTCGCCGCTTAGCATCTGCACCGGCGCTCCGGGCGCCCCTGGGTAAGAGGCGGCAGGCTGGTGCGTGAGACGCCTCCAGGATGTGCAGGGTCTGAGCAGCACAATCACAGCTTTCTTGCCCTGGACTCCAGCCTGCTCGCTGCCGGGCTAGCTGCAGTCTGCTTTCCGAGCCGGCGCAGACCCTGCTGCATGGGGGCCGGGCCGCGAGGCGTGGTGGAGGACACTGGGGGCCCCTGCACACGTGGGCCCACCTCTGCTGTGCAGAGGCGACCTCGGGAATCTGATGTTCAGACGGTGCGCACGTGGACGCCCGGCGGCCGGCGCTGCGGACAGCGAGAGGGCGGAGGAAGGGGGGCGGGGCCGGGCCCAGCGCTGCCTTCGTTTATCGCGGCCCCCGCTTGCAGCAGCCCCCGGAGCCCCCCTCAAGAAATTCATTCCAGAGGCTTTCCACGCTTGAGCTGCAAACCCAGCAATTTTTCAGAATTGTTTGTGTTTTTAAAGGGTGGCGAGATTCCATGAAATTCGAGAATAGGAATGTTGCAAAGCCCTTTGCCGCTTTTGTGTGAAGGTTTATTGCTGAAGTCGCGGCAAGAAATAGTGCGCTGCAAATAGTGCACGTGGCTCTCAGAACACAGACCTAGACCCCGGCCTGTCCTGTGTCCCCGGAAGCAGACCGCCATGCGATATCGCATCGCCTTGCACGCGGGTGCAGACCCACGTGTGTGGGTGACGGGCCACCAGGCCATGGCAGGTGCAGTGGTTTTGCTGTAGCTTGCCGGGCTGGCGGAAGAGCGCCAGGCGTCGGCACTGGTGAGCGGGGAGCAGATGGAGGGCTTTCCCGCGATGCACCGATTCTGTGCTCTGTGTATAGACAAGTAGGACACAGGGCTGTCCCCGGAGATCCTTGCAGCATGCAGCGAAGGAGAGAGACGCCCGTGTCAGTGTGCAGTGCCACGGTGCCTCAGCGTGTCCGTGGAGAGCAGGGGACGGTCTGCGGGGCAGACCCACGCCCTGGCCTCTCTGGGCCCTGGCCAGGGTTCCGACTGCAGCTGCCAGGGGTTTCTCCAGCTCCGTTGCCAGAAGGAGGTGCCAACAGGACGGCTTCTCCTGGACCTGTCGCCCTGCGCCCTCCTGGCCACGCCCAGGGCTGTGGGACCGGGTTTGCCCTCATGAGCTCAGCTGGCGTCATGGCCGCCTTACAGACCCCAGATAGGCCCCTGGGGAAGCACAGGAACTCGCATTCGGTGTCCGTCCCGGGGGCTGACGGGGTAATGGTGCTGCCGTCCCTTACGCCCTTTTGACTCCTCCGGCCTGCACCTCCCTGCTGGAAGTGCCTCCGGGGCAGAGCTGGCAAGCTCCTGCCGACGCGGGCATCTCACAGGCCTGATGGCCGCTGTCCCTGCCACGGGGCTGACAAACGGGGACACGGGCCCGGGGCTTCAGGG